CCCCCCCATCCCCCCCCCCCCGCAATCCTTTTGTCAGGCCCTGGCAATAGCAGAGCAGGCTTGTGCCTCTTCTAGCTGAAGGAAGATCTGGGAAAACGTTGCCTTGGTAACAAAAGTAATAAATAAACCTGTCTCTGCTTGCCAATTAATTTGGTTCCCTCATGCTTAGCAGAGTGCCAGGAAGCCCACTTGCTAGATGAAGGCATTATAGCCATCTAGGCTTTTGCAGCGAAAGGCCGTTGGGCACCTGAATTTCTGAGTGTTCAAGTCAATGTTCTATCACTGATACTGATATTTTGCGGTAGAACCTGTGCATTGCATTCAACCCTCAGCATCTCCAAGGAAGACTAGAAACATTCCTGCCTGCCTGAAATGTTGGAGAGCCAGCATGGGTAATACTAAGCTAATAGTTTGGACCTGTGCATGGTAATAAATGTTACCACTGAGCTAGATGGATCAGCGGAGGACATCAAATTAGGGAAGGCTAACACAGGAAAGAGATGTTCCGTTCTTCCTGTTTCTAAAGTGTTGCATCCTAGGCCTCCTTTTAGCATCCTAGTAACATTCCTCTGAAAGCTCTCCAGCCTATCAATATTCTTTCCTGGCTTGGGGGACAGAACTGGATGGAACAGACATCCTGCAAGCTTGCCCTAGAACTCTGGAATGCCATCGTTTCTAGCAATCTGGATAAAATGGTCTGGCAAGTGATTGGAACTAAGCCCTAAAAGGGGTTGCAGCTGGTGTTGCCTCCAACACTGGCTGTGCTCTTCTATGGGCCCAGCTCCCTTTGGGACTCTGACTCTTTGTGCCGCCCCACACGGAGCTCAAAACTCTCTTCGGGATGCCACGACCAGAATGCTGTGCCTTTCAGGGAGAAGCAGAGCTAAGAAGCAAGTGCCTAGCTCTTATGGCTCTTCAAACGTGTGAGCAACAGCTAATGAAATCTTCAAGCATAACCCAGTGGAGATGCTTTCTGGCTTGGGGCTTCCAATTTTGCAGAGCTCCCTGCTATTCATTACTATGACAAGTAGATATATAGTAACTGCTGGCAAGCTGTGTAAATATATGGTTTGCATCATTTGTGCAGGCCAGCGTTCAAAAGCAATGTTACTACAGTAATGGGATTCTTGAGTGTATCCAAGTGTTCACCAGAAAGTCCATTTTTAGCTCCCTCCTCATACATGTGAATGAAATCACAGCTCCTTCCTGGGCCTACAAGCTGACTTCTTTCTCCTGGCTCCTTGATTGCTGTAGGTGGCTGTGCCCGATCTGTTAAAAGCTTCCGCTGATGCAGACATCCTCATTTTTGTGGTGCCTCACCAATTCATTGGGAAACTCTGTGAGCAAATGAAGGAACATATCAAGAAAGAAGCAATAGGCATCTCGCTCATCAAGGTGTGAGTGTGGCTGGGGGGTGGGGGGTGGGGGTGGGGGGTGGGGGGACTAGCTGGCATCATGACCTTTTAAACGAGTAACTGGAAGATTTGGCCTGGCTTTGCTGGGAGGGCATTTCACCACCACCATGAAAGGGTAAAAAGGGGGAGATGTCTGCGGTAAGAATGCTCTTTTACTGAGAGAGCTTGACTTGACTTGGCCACATGATTCTGCCATGGGCTCTGACCTCCAGTGGTCTTCCCCACTGGTGAACCATGGAGTTCCTTCACCTCTCTGAGCACCAGGCAAATACACAGTCCTCTCAATGAAATGTCTATTATTTTAATTCCTTCACAAGGAAAGGAAGAATGGCTAGATCTAGAGCCATTTCTACACAATTACATTGGAAATAATCATATGGTTAAAGGGGGGAGGGGCTAATTTGTTTCCAGTGATTTTATTTATTTAAAATATTTCTATTGTGTTATGCTGCTGAGTCTCTCCTGCTGGTTAAATTAATTAAATTGTATTTAAATACAATAATATAAAGGCACTACTCCATAAATCATTCAGCTAGGCCATCATGAGCTCTGAAATGCCAAGGTAGATGAAAACATTTTCTGCATGCAGAGTTGGTGCAACCTTTAGTTTGGTTTTAGAAATGAATAGTAGAGGTAACTTAAAAACTGGGAATTAGAAGGAACCATCCCTTTGCAATTAATCAGAAGAGCTTTTTAATAAAAACATAAAGGTTCTCAAGAATCACCTATCCATACCAATTATAAAGCTTCATGCCACTCTGGATGGATCAAACCTCCTCTCCTCTCCTCATTATAGTATATGTTGTTATGGATTATAAACTATTTCATCAGAAACAAAGTACTATTCTTGATTGGCAGTCAGTACAAACATAGTTATGGAGTGGAAAAGTTGTGAACAGTGAGGCCAAGTGGCCACAGATGTGAAAGGGGCAGTCTGTTCTAAGTAGTGTGACTATTTGTTTGTGATATTCAATGGCATCCTAATAAACTTAGCTAATCAGATGAGGTCAAGAAATGGTTGTGAAAGTGAAGTACCTTTAGAGTCCTACATTAACTGAATGCCTATTTAAGTCCTGAACCTCTTTGGCTGGAGCAGCACTGAGTTCAGTCAAGCAGGGCTATTGCAGAGTCCTTAGTCAGGTTGTCCCATTGACCTGACATCACTTGCGTGTTTGGATTGCAGGGTGTGGACGAAGGCCCTGATGGGCTGAAGCTCATCTCAGACATCATCCGTGAGCAGCTAGGCATTGAAATGAGTGTGCTGATGGGAGCCAACATTGCCAATGAGGTGGCAGAGGAGAAGTTCTGTGAGACCACCATTGGTAATGAACTTGAGCTTATGATTAATATGGAAAGCTGGAGGCAAGCTGGAGGTCAGCTCTCTGGATAGGTGCTTTAAGTGTTATGCTACATTCACAGGAAGTTCCTCCACCCTTCCTTACTGACTTTGTTTGGACACTGTTGCAACAAGAAGCAGTTCCACCCAGACATATTACTGGCTACTGCTGGGAAAGTAGGATGGCCACATACTATCCTATACATTAGAGATGTACTTTTAAATCTCCCATTGCGGTGGCACTGATTCCATCACTCCCCTGTGTCCTCTGGTAAGGAGAAAAACTTTCATGCGAAACAAAGGAACCCATTGCTCCCTATCTCATCTTGCACTGAGTTTTTTAAAGCACCTGTCTTCTCCTAATAGAGAAGATGCGCACCAGCTGAACCAACGGATAGGTGAACAAGGAACACATAGAATGCTCCCATGTGATCCAGTGCTTTGCTTTGCTTTCTTAAAGGGAAAGGACTAGGCATAGTTGAAATAAAGAGACATGGTCAGGATGGTGGGCAGGGAAAAGGTCCTCTCTCAAGACCCATTACAGGCCCAATGGGCTCACCTAGCAGGTTAGATTAGGCCTGCAGTCTAGAGACTCCCCATCCTTGCTAAGGCATTGTTGGGGGCTGTGGGGAGATTCACTTCTCCTCTGTCATTCATCTTCCTCCTCAACTCCTGTGGTATGCAGACATCCAGACATGCCACAAAGCAGCTAGAACACAAATGACAGCAACAGGTTGGGAACGGGACAGCCCAGGCCACCTTCTCCCTTACTACATATCTGATATCAAGGGAAAGTAGTAGTAACATTAGACACGAGCCTGAGACCTTACGCTGCTGCATACGCTTTTTCCAGAATCAGTTTGATTACACTGGAGATCCTCTTGCATGATTGTAGCAGGAAATCATGAGACACCACAGTGCAATGCAAAACCACTCTAGTGATTGTCCTAGTTGAGCTGGGCTAAGTGGAATTACTGTGGCCCAATTTCACCTGTTAAGTCCAGTGTAGTGTGTTGAATAGGAAAAAAAAATTAAAGATGCAGCAAAAGAAAACTGTTGACCAACATCTAGCAGCTGCTTTCCAGAGTCTTAGACATATTGTCCTTTTCATATTCTTTTACCTGAAATTTATCTGAAACTTTCTGCGTGCAAGCCCAATATTCCTCTTATGGAAGGGGGAGGAAATAATGGTAAATTCTAGGGTTTCATCGGGCAACAGGAATCTCCTCTCAACTATCATGTACCCCCAGGAAGCTTAGTTCATCTTAAGGTGCTTTTAGTACGTGCTCCAGAAACCCCTGATTTTGCTAGATACCCATTTTTACAACAATTTCCAGAGTCATATTTATGCTTGTTGCAAAAAAACCCAGCAGAGTTTTGTGGCACCTTCAGGATTAACAAAGTCAAAATTCATTGTTGACACAAATGCTCTTCTGCTGAACTATTGCACCATTATAAAGCAAATATTCATGTTTGTTTGGATTTACTCCTATTCCTCTTCTTGGGAGGTTGTTTTCCTATAGTACCTCTCAGTCTGACAGTTCCATTTATTTGGAGTATGGGAGAAACCAATACAGAAATCAGTGGTTAACATCATCTTGATTGCATATTTCATTAGCCAATCAGTTGGCTTTGAATGGTGCAAACCCTACTGAGTAAGTGATTGCTGCATTTCAGAGTCTATTATTGATAAATGCCAGTATTTCATCTCTGGAATAAAGTAGCCCTAATCATCCAAGATGTCTAAATTTGTGTATACATCTATTCTGCCCCCACCCTTCCTTGGATCTCAGGGATTCAATAGCACTTCTCTCTCCATTTCTGATTGCTGACAGTTTCCAAGGGAGAAGCTGAGGCCTAGTGATAGAACAAGAGCTTTGGATGGGCAAAGTACCAGCTTTAACACACAATATTTAAACTTTAAATACTTTCTTAATTATTTATGGTATCACTGGAATGACATCAACTCAGTCCCCATGACTCTGGCTTGTTTTGCTCTTTCTGTACTACCAAATAAACCATACGTCTTGCTTAAGCTGCCGTGATCCTGACATAATGCCATAATCCGTGAAATTCATTCTGCTTGTTTTGGGGAAGTATCTACATGTGACCAGACCAGCCTTGACTGTCATTGGTAAATTCCGTCACACAGGAATTCCAGCTTGTATAGTAACCTAAAAGGGAAGATGGCATGGACATGCCATTGGCCATTTGTCTACCAATCATCACTCTCAAAATATAAAACTGCTTCCTTTTGTGGAGAATATAGTTTGATAACCAGCCGCAAAACACCTAGGATAGCAATGAGAACCAGCACAATACATGGTATTGCTACAGGATGTTACCTAGCCACAAGGGCTGGATTCTGTCCACTACAGTTTTCAGTTCAGTTCAATCTTTATTACAGTCATAGACCAGT